GTAGTAATAATTTAAATCTGATTAGAGATCACTCTCCCACTGTATATAATGTAGCTGCAGTTCTAGCCTCTTTTAATATAAATGCCTCAAAAATGAATACATGGGTTATAAATTATTCAGCTTCTAATACAGATTTTATTTAATGACTAGTCTATGAAATGTGTAAATAGTGGGGAAAGTTTTGAACAGACCTAAAGCATCAGCTTGCTTTTCTACCTACTCGGATATTTTTACTATGTATCTGGCTACTTCTCCCAGAAGTTTGCATTTCTTGAAGTGTGCATTAAAGACTCCTACATGACCTATTTATATAACTCACCTATTCAAAATTCTGAACTTTGAAATGCTCATTTGTTTTAACTGGGAAAAACACGGTGAATAAGATCAATTGAGCATGGTGCATTTTGTATCAGAAATGAAATTTTACTTTTGAAGTCAAGATGATCAATCTTGAGTGAGAATTTACATGAGAATTTGGGGCCTAATTTGGCCCCTTTAAAATTTTTGGTGGGACATAGAAAGTATAAAAATAAGCAAAAGGTGAAACAAAGGCACAAAATCAGCAATGAAATAAAGCACCAATTTATATAGCTCCCACGTAGGAGGGTGCTTAAGTGATCAGAACAGTCAGGGGTCACTTAGAATCTCTTTATTTCTTCTTTTTTTATTTATTTGACAGGTAGAGTTATAGACAGTGAGAGAGAGAAACAGAGAGAAAGGTCTTCCTTCTGTTGGTTCAACCCTAAATGGCTGCTACGGCTAGAGCTACGCCGATCCGAATAGAATCTTTCTTGAAATAAGCTGGGTACTGGTTCTTAGTGTCTATTGCTAGTAGTAAACTAAGTGGCTTCTATCCCTTCCAAAATTCTATGTAAGTATATTGACAGTTAATACAAAGTATTTTTAATACTTGTAAACCTTTAATTTTTCAGAGTTTGCAGGTGTGGTCAGAGGCTTTTTTTTTTTTTTTTTTTTTTTTTTTTTTTGGCTTGGCTTGGCTTGGCACAGAAATAGGACAAGATGCATGTGACAAAGGGAGATTGCATCCCTATTCTAACTTAGCTGCATCTGGCTTTTAGAGCCTAAAACATTATCCAATTGTTTAGTTAATATTGGAAATAATTATATATAATCATAATCATGTATAAGTAATACAGTTTTCTGCTGGAGAGTATAGCAATTGCCATAAAATTGCAAAGGCATAGGTTATGGAAGGTGCCATGAATGCTTACAAGTCAGTGTCTTCCTGTCTGAGGAAGCATTGCTAACCCCATGCTACAAAGAAGAGTTATTCTGAAATAAGGTTAGGTACTGAATACCGGCTGGGTTTAGGACTAACATGTGGACACAACAATATATCTGTCAGATTTTCAGTCTTTCATTTGATCAGGCTCCCAATTTCCAACTCATTTTCTCTTGGGGGGAATTTCATTCACACTCTTGCATGACTGGGAAGAGTAATATCTTAAAATATTTTTGAAGTGTTGTATAAGCAATTATTTGAGGAATGCTTACATTGTGAAGTCATTGATTTACTTCCAGACCTGTTCTCTGAAGACTAAAGTTGCACGAAGAGAGATAACACACTCTGGAGAAAATCAGGCTCATCTATATGTCTGCAGGTTCCTGCCACAGTGAAGCAAAGCAGAGCCTTAGGCGCCTTCCCCAAGTCTCTTCTGAGTTCAGACTCTGACCGTCGGCACTTAATGCACAGAACCTGGGCACTCATTCTTGGGTCTTCACAAAGCGCACAGCACCTTTCATTGCCCTTCCCTGCTCTGCCTGGTTTCTCTCCCACAATGCTAATTTGTGTCACCTCCAATACTGACTGCTGCCAAGCCAGTAAGGCAGCATGTGCTTTCTGCTTTCAGTTAGAGCTTTGTAGAAACTTGGCTGTGTGGGTTTTGCGCAGATCCACATACTTTGTATACTTACACTCAGGTACTCAGCCTTGTGGCTGTAGAGTTTGGGTCTAAGAGCAATTCATTTGGTGCAATTTTGGTGCCCCATTGTCTCCTGGGAACCTCAGCCTCTTTGCATGACACATGTCGTAGGATTCGCTATTCCCCTATAAGAAAATGAACTCTCAAAAAGAGTTTCTCTGACCCAAGCTTTAGATGTGCCCAGATTGAATCCCAGAGAGATCAGAGATTAGGTTTAAACTGAAATCCTTGCTGCAAGAGTTTATTTTTTAATCAGAATAATTTCTTAACCACATATGACTCCAAGAATACACATTTGTAGTGTTTATTTCCTCTAATTGCAAGAGAAAGTGTCTACTAGTCATACAGAAAAAGAAAATACAAAATAAATAATTTCAGGTTAGAAGATGTAAATTTATGGCAGAAAATAAACAATGGTCTATTGTTTGTCTTACTACAAAATTTTAAAATGTCAGTTTTTAAAAAACAATGAAAAGTGTAGAGCCGACGCATTGGCTCAGTAGGTTAATCCTCTGCCTGCGGCGGCAGCATCCCATATGAGCACCGGTTCTAGTCTGGCTGCTCTACTTCCCGTCCAGCTCTCTGCTATGGCCTGGAAAAGCAGCAGAAGATGCCCCAAGTCCTTGGGCCCCTACACCCATGTGGGAGAGCCGGAAGAAGCATCTGGCTCCTGCATCAGATTGGCATAGCTCTGGCCGTTGAGGCCATTTGGGGAGTGAACCAAAGGACAGAAGACCTTTCTCTCTGTCTCTCCCTCTCACTGTCTGTAACTCTACCTTTCAAATAAATAAATAAAATCTTTAAAAAAAAAAGTGAATTGAAAACAGAAAACTTAGAGATAAGGACCCTGCTTATTCTTTTTTTTAAGATTTATTTATTTTACTTGAAAGTCAGAGTTAAACAGAGAGAGAGAGAGAGCGAGAGAGAGAGAGAAATCTTCCATCCGCTGGTTCTCTCACCAATTGGTCGCAACGGCTGGAGCTGTGCTGATCTGAAGCCAGGAGCCAGGAGTTTCTTTCGGTTTCCCACAAGGGTTCAGGGGCCCAAGGACTTGGGACATCTTGTACTGCTTTCTCAGGCCACAACAGAGAGCTGGATTGGAAGTGGAGCAGCCGGGACTTGAACTGTCGCCCATATGGAGTGTCGGCACTGCAGGTGGCAGCTTTACCCACTATGCCACAAGGACCCTGCTTATTCTTGAACAAAATAGATAGTTAGTTGTTCCATCTGTATAAAAGCTACATATTGAAAAATGTTTCTTTTCTGCCCTTCAAAATATATACTTCTTCAAAAATTAAGTTATTACTGAGCGATGATTTGCAATGGCCTGATAGAAGTGGAATACTCTTAAGAGACATTACTGATCCCAGGCTGTAAAGCCAGCATGGTAACTGAGATTCATTTCTCTACCAAGAGATGTCCCTTATTTGCAAGGCTCTATATCAGACATGTTTCAGATTTTGGATTTTTTTGGATTTGAGAATATTTGCACATAAAAACGGTATTTTGGGAATGCGATCCAAATCTGTAGACAATTTGTATGTATGTGTATATGTATATATATATATATATATATATATTCCTTATACACAAATGGTCTGAAGGTACTTTCATGCAGTATTTTTCAGTGTACCTGTGTTTCCACTGCACTGCCTACACAACTACCTTCTCAGATCTTGTGTCCTAGGGGATCAGGAAGGGGCAGCTGTCACAGACGCGGGAACAGGGACAGGAAAGCTCTCCCTGCCTCCTGCCCTCCGGAGTATGCGCTGTTCTTTCTTATCTGATTTTACTTCATCCACAGCACAGATCAGATCTGTGCTTCCTCAGCATAGATCTGCATTTTATTTTTTATTTATTTCCATTTGAGGAGAAGATATTTTAGTCTATTCACAGCCTGATGTTTCTGTTTACATTACGTTATTTAAAATGTTGTACAGAGTAGTCCTTTCTGCATTAACATAAAAATTCAAACATAATTGGAACTAAGTAAACTTTTTCACAGTTCCACACTGTATTTCTCTCCCAATGAAGGAGACAAATCGTCAGCTTACTAGATCTCTAGAAGTGTGTCACATCCCTAGGAAGCATTCAACAACTGGTAACTGTCATTAAAATTACCACTATAATTATTTAAAAACATGCACACGTATGCCTAAATGAGAGGCTATTGTGCATAACAGAATTACCTAATAAAGAGCTTGATCAGATAACCAGAGGATATATTATGTGGTATGGTACTAATAACACCGTGTTAATAGCAAAACTGAAATATATACAAAAAAAGGATCACGTCATGATTGGGTGGCCAGTTAGGCTTCATGAAGCCAGGCTAAATTTCTTCAGTTAGTGCCAGCGTAGTAATAATCTTTATGAGGAGGGGAGAAAATGATAATTCACAGCTTTATGACCAAGTTTTCAGGGTGATGCCTGAGGGTAATTTGGCTCTTAATAATCAGAAACACAAAGGAACATTAGTCTAATAACTAAATGTTAATATTCTTTATTTGATGCTTGCTACTTGATCCATTTAAAAATCTCTTCCTAATTGAAAACTAAAGAAAAACACCCAGTATTTTAATGGATTGTAAAATTTATAATAATATAAAACCAGTTATTGATGATTGATATCCTTTTCAGAAAAATATGCTTTAGAATAGTGTTATTGTAAATTAATTAAATACTATTTCTCAGAACTTTAATGAAGGTAAGCTGTTTATTTATTTATTTATTTTTTCTTGCCTTTCACTGATTTTTCAGTTAAAAACTGTTTTCACCCATGGAAACGCTTCAAAAGCATTATGGAAAAATGGAATTAAATGATGATTTTATATAAAAAGTTTATTTTTATTTATTTGAAAGGCAGAGAGAGAGAAAGAGGAAGAGAATGAGAGAGAGGTATCCTTCTAGTTCATTACCCAAATGCCAGGGCTGGACTAGACTGAAACTGGGAGTCAAGTGCTCAGTCCAGGTCTTCCACATGGTAACAGACACCCAATCATTTGAGTCATCACCTGCTGCATTCCAGGGTGCACATTAGCAGGAAACTAGAATTGTCACCCCTGGCAATGGGCGAAGAGACACCTCGTTCGTGGTGCTGCCCTTATATCAGTCAGGGGCAGAGCAGATGTGCAGTCCTTTGTTCATCCTAGCTTGATGCCTGTATTGGTGGCCAGAGCTGTTTCATGCCTAGGGCACAAACCCTAATGGTAGAAGTGATTATTCTGATGGGAACCAGGCGCAGATACTGTAACCAAGAAGTGATAGTAAGCCTGTTAAGACTGAACGGGTCGTGTGGCTTGTGTTTGGGGGCAAGTGTGTTCTTGGCCATGTGTGTGTGTGTCATGTGGCTCTTTAAACTGGCTACGAAGGAGGTAAATGGACCACAGTTTTCAGAAGCTGAGGGTTCAGTTACATGTATCATGGTTGTTGGGAAGACCAAATCCATGGAAAAGTGAGATGGGACCTGCCATGGTTGTAGCTAACAGTTGCACACCCACCTTTCTCTGGTTCAGATACAAAAGGTGGTCACGGCATTAGGAGATTACATGGGTGCGTCCTGTCACGCCTGCATCAGGGGCACCAATGTGCGTGCTGAGGTGCAGAAGCTGCAAATGGAAGCTCCGCACATCATCGTGGGCACCCCTGGCCGCCTGTTCGACATGCTTAACCGGAGATACCTGTCTCCCAAGTACATCAAGATGTTTGTACTGGACGAAGCTGATGAAATGTTAAGCCATGGATTCAAGGACCAGATCTATGACATCTTCCAGAAGCTCAACAGCAACACCCAGGTGGTTTTGTTGTCAGCTTCAATGCCTTCCAATGTGCTCGAGGTGACCAAGAACCTCATGAGGGACCCCATCCAGATTCTTGTCAAGAAGGAGGAGCTGACGCTGGAGGGTATCCGCCAGTTCTGCATCAACGTGGAATGTGAGGAGTGGAAGCTGGACACACTGTGTGACTTGTACGAAACCCTGACCATAACCCAGGCTGTCATCTTCATCAACACTCGAAGGGAAGTCGATTGGCTCACTGAGAAGATGCACGCCCGGGACGTCACCGTCTCTGCCATGCATGGAGATATGGACCAAAAGGAGCGAGATGTGATCATGAGGGAGTTCCGTTCTGGCTCTAGCCGAGTACTGATTACCACTGACCTGCTGGCCAGAGGCATTGATGTACAACAAGTTTCTTTAGTCATCAACTATGACCTTCCCACCAACAGGGAAAACTATATTCACAGAATTGGCCATGGTGGACGCTTTGGCAGTAAGGGTGTGGCTATTAACATGGGGACAGAAGAAGATAAGTGGACTCTAAGAGACATCGAGACCTTCTACAACACCTCCATTGAGGAGATGCCCCTCAATGTTGCTGACCTCATCTGAGAAGGGCTGTCCTGCCACCTAGCCCCAGCTGGGGTTCAGTCCTCAGGGGCTGAGGAGCAGCAGGAGGGGGGAGGGGAGGGAGCCAAGGGATGGACATCTTGTCATTTTTTTCTTTTTTTTTTCTTTGAATAAATGTCACTTTTTGAGGCAAAAGGAAAAAAAAACTAGAATTGAAAGCAGAGGTGGGAGTTAAATCAAAACACTCTAGTATAGGATGTGGGCATCCCAAGCAGCATCCTTACGTCCTGATCAAAAGTCCACTGCAATACACTTATTTTGTTGAAAAAACAAATTTGAAATTTCTGTATAGTTTCTTCATAAAATACATTTCCATTAAATATATGAAGTGCTCTAAAATATTGAATAAGGCTGAGAACAACTAGCACCTGGAGAGATATCACTTGCAGTGACACAAACTAGAGGACTCAAACTGCTCATGGGAAGGAATCAGAAAAGGCACATAGATGTTTGAAGACCTGCCCAAAGACCTCAGAGACCTTACAAGGAAGTGAAGAATTACAAGGATAGAAGCCCCCGGTGTCATGCTGGAGAACAGTAAATGTACCATTTGTCATTAGATTCTGATGAAATAACACAGAATGGCTACAACTTGGTCCAAGAATATAACCTAGGTTTAAGATTTGGAAATCAATGAGAGAAGTTAAATATAACAGAAAAATCTAAAAAAAGATTATGCCAAGAAAATGTAAGAGGAAATTTACTTAACCTGAAGAAATATATGTTTTAAAAAACTGACAGAAGATTTCATATTTAGTTGATGTCCCAGAAATGTTTCATTTCACATGGGGGAAAAGAGAAAAAAGTCTCATTTCTATCTAGCATTGTACAATGAGAATAAAAATGCAATTTAAAATTTCAAAAATAAAAAGTAAATTATTGTATTTGTGTCATATTGTGTTCATAAAAAATCCAAAAATATTACATTATAGAATTAATCATTATGTTGAATAGATTGCTAATATGCAAATAAGTAAACATCAATTTTGATTTCAATATCCTGTCAATATGTAAGTGAACAAAATCAACTGCACTCTTGACCTAGTAGACAATTCTACAACACTGCAGTCAGAGATTACAGGATATCCTTTTTCTCAGGTGTACATGCTGCTTTCTCTAAAATAGAGCATATGCCAGACCTCTAAGTAATTCTCAATAATTTAAAAGACTTGAATCATATAGAATATATTCTCTGACCACATGAAATTAAATTAAAAATTAATAGCAAAGCTTTCTGAAAATTCCCCTAAGTATTTGAAAATCAACAACATTTCTATATCATTCACAGGTCAAAAAAATAAATCACATGGAAAATTGAGAATTCCACTTAAATTGAATGACATTGAAAATACAAGGTGTCTTCAAAATGTTAATGAAAATGTGTAGTATGAAGAAATATGCATGGATTTTAAAAATGCATCAAAATAAAGTTGTACTCTCTTGTTGTAACATGTCTGAACAGGATCTAGTCTGAGACATGAAGAAGGGTGAGACACCAGTTTGAAAAGAGCCCTTATCAGAGCAACATAGATTCTGCTCAAGTAGAAGCAAGAACACACACCGAAACTGTGATGGAAGGTTGGATGAAAGATTGGGAAAAAGTTTTGATACTCTGGGAAAAGTTTAAGGAGTTACTATCTGAAAGAAATCAGCAGTTGACAAATAAGTAAGTCATTTTAGGAAGAGATAAGATAATGGTGAGCAGGAAGTCTGCAGCAGCAAACTCTTTTTTTTTTTTTTTTTAATTTTTTTGACCGGCAGAGTGGACAGTGAGAGAGAGAGACAGAGAGAAAGGTCTTCCTTTGCCGTTGGTTCACCCTCCAATGGACGCCGCGGCTGCCCACAGCACACCACACTGATCTGAAGTCAGGAGCCAGGTGCTTCTCCTGGTCTCCCATGGGGTGCAGGGCCCAAGCACTTGGGCCATCCTCCACTGCACTCCCTGGCCACAGCAGAGAGCTGGACTGGAAGAGGGGCAACCGGGACAGAATCCGGCGCCCCGACCGGGACTAGAACCCAGTGTGCCGGCGCCGCAGGCGGAGCATTAGCCTGTGGCGCCGGCCGCAGCAAACTCTTCACATCAATTTGTGAGGAAAAAAATTTATCTTGTCGGTGCCTTAACTAAGAGGACTGATGGTTAAGAGCAGAAACCACAGTCAACATAGATACCTCAGTTGGTTAAGCGTACACATTCTAACTGAAAAACTAAGGTTGAGCAAACTCTGTTCAGCAGGTGTAAACATTTTTACACCCAGATTAACTGCAGACAAGAGCAGAATTTTCAATGGAAATCTTAAAGAAGTGGGATGAAGACTGTGGGCATGCCTTGAAGAATTCTAACAGGAGCTGAAGCATAGCTTGCGTGGCATGATCCGGAACACACAGCACCAACAGAGCAATGGCTACCGAGGGGTGACTGTAGTCCTGTCAAGAGCAAAGGTCATGGCGACAGTTTCTGGGGATGCTCGGCATTTTGCCTGTTGACTTTCTAGAAAGCCAAAGGGAATGGACATCTGCTTCTCAGGAGAGTGTTTTGAGAAAGTGACTCAGAGCTTTAGCAGAAGAACAGGTGGCGAAGTTTCACCAGAGAGTCCTCTGCACATGGCTGTGCTCCTGTCCATTTCTCTCATCAGACGAGGGAAATCTTGTGGCAGTCTCAATAAGAGACCGTGAGGCATTACCCTTACAAGTCCCAGTTTGGCACATTTTGACTTGTTTTTGTTTCATAAACTTAGAGTCCTGGGGCAGTTGTTGTTGCACATCACATTAAGCTGCCACATGGAATTCAGTTCCCTGCTAGTGCCTGGGAAAGGAAGATGGCCCAAGAACTTGGGACCCTGCCCCCCTACATGGGAGACCTGGATGAAGTTCCTGGCTCCTGGCTTCAACCTGGTCCAACCCCAGCTGTTGCAGACATTTAGGCAGTGAAACAATGGATGGAATCTCTCTCTCTAACTCTGTCTTAGAAAGAAAGAAAGAAAGAAAGAAAGAAAGAAAGAAAGAAAGAAAGAAAGAAAGAAAGAGAGAAAGAAAGAGAGAAAGAAAGAGAGAGAGAAAGGAATCTTAAAGACTTGAAGGCCCCCGACTTTTCTTTAGTGAATTATGTAGAAAAGACTGCAAAGACTCAGCTAAATTCTCAAAACTGTCAATTCCTTAGGGATGGACTAAGTGACTGATAATCACTTAACAAAATCACTTAACAAAAATGTCTTAAAGTTGATGGAATCTATGGTGAGAAATAAAGTTTATATATTTTATTTTAATGTTTTAATTCTATTTTTCAGTCACTTTTTGAAGTCTTTTCATAAAGCACATTTAAATCTGTGGGGTAAAGAGAAAGCAGTATTTGGGTAGATGAGCAAACATCTAAATTCACTTATCCAAGATTTCACTTTCAGAAGTTAAATTTTTTTTAAAGACTTACTTATTTTATATGAAAGGCAGAGTTACACAGAGAGCAGAGAGAGCAGAGAGAGAGAGGTCTTCCAATTACTGGTTCACTCCCCAACTGGCTGCAATGGCTGGAGTTGCATCGATCCGAAGCCAGGAGCCAGGAGCTTCTTCCGCGTCTCCCACATGGGTGTGGGGGCCCAAGGACTTGAGCAATCTTCTACTGCTTTCCCAGGCCATAGCAGAGAGTCGAATTGGAAGTGAAACAGATGGGTCTCGAACTGGCACCCATATGGGATGCCAGCGCTTCAGGCCAGGGCATTAACCCATTGCACCACAGCATCGGCCCCAGAAGTTAAATTAAAAAAAATTTTTTTTGTATCTGAAAAACAAGAAGAAAGGCAATAATAATTATAAGATAAGAATAAAATAATGGAGCCAATATTGTGGTGTAGCCAGTAAAGCCACCTCCTGTGACACTGGCATCCCATGTGGGTGGTGGTCCATGTCTTGGCCTCTCCACTTCCTATCCAGCTCCCTCACAATGGCCTGGGAAAGCAGCAGAAGATGGCCCAAGCATATGGGCTCCTGCCACCCATGTGGCAGACCTGGATGAAACTCCTAACTCCTGGCTCCAGCCTGGCCCAGTGCTGGCCGTTTTGGCTAACTTGGTAGTAAACCAGGTGGTGGAAGAGCTTTCCATGTCTCTGTCTCTCTCTCTCTCTCTGTAACTCTGACTTTTAGATAAATACTTTTTAAAAAAAGAACAAAATGAAACAGCAAACAAATAAAACAGGAAAAATAAGTAAAATTTGTTCCTGAGCAAAGGTGAATATCAATTGTTAAACCTATAGTTGGGCAAGAACTTAAGTGCCACTATTTTTGACAGACATTTCCTTCTCGATGAATTGTTGAACTAAATACTTTTTGTGCTGTGCACTTTCCCATATGTGTTACAATGAAATGCTTTTAGACATAAAAATAGTTATACCTATGTATAATAATATTTATATAAGAATATATCTGATAATATTGAAAGTGGTATAAAACCTGGGAGGCCTTATATACACTACCCAGCTTCAACTACTATCAGCTCATGGCTAATCTACTTACAAATTTACCCTTGCCCACTTATCTTATCCCCCTTTTTTCTCTCAGTGTTACTTTTAAGAAAAACTAAGGATCACAACCTTTTGTCCATAAATTATTCATTTTATCTTTAAAACACATGTATGCTTAAGTGGAAGTTATGTGGAACCTAAAACACCATTGAACTCATAGAAGTAGAGCGGAATGATGTCTAACAGAGGCTAGGGATGGTGCTGAGGTGGACCAGAAAAGGAGAAACATTATTCAAAGGGATCAAGGAATTGGATAGATGGGAGAAAGGGTTATGTTATCTATTGCACACTAGGATAATTATAGTTAATATTAAATATGTATATTTCAAAAGAGACAGAGAATGGATTTTAATAGCTCATCACAGTGAAATTATGTTTGAGGTGACAGATACATTAATGAGTCGGATTTGATCATTCCATAATGAATCTATGTCATGAAATATCACATTATACTACCTTAATATACATAATTATAATTTGCCAATTAAATAGTACATTTTAAAAATCAAATTGCACAAATACTTGCATTATTATGCTATTTTAAAAGGAATATTTTATGTACTTATTATATTTGTTTTTTGGCAATTGGAGAGTCCCAGAAACTTACACATCAAGTCATAAAGTGCTTTGCTTCTCAAAAAGGA